CCTATATCAGGACCATTTTGATCATCTAGCTAGCATACTGGCTATAGAGTAGTCAGCTTCATCCTTTTCTACAGTTGTTAATTTAAAATTTACCGAAGTATAATTAATTGAAACCTTTTTTTTCCTTAAGTAACAAGTGAGTGATAGACTGAGTGCTGCTCTGCATCCATGGTAAAAGCCTAATGCGCAATCTCCATGCTGTTTCTTGTGCTGGGAATAGTAGTAGCCATGATCTCCTGCCAGGACAGACTCTGCACTTGGACTGCATGATGTATTTAAAAAAAAAAAAAAAAAAAGTTAAATGTTTCTGGGGGAGTCACTTCTGATATCTGTTCCACCAAAACACTTGTTTAGGCACAGCTCCTCCCTCTCAGCTTTGAAGGTGGTTCTGAAGCCAGCAGTGTCTAGGACTTCATATGATAGGTAAGTGATAACACAGCCTAGGTAAAAATGCCTGTGGCTCTTCCTGCCTTTTACTGACATAGTTTGCTAGTACAGCATGGGGTAGCTTCAGCACAAAAAGAAGTGAGACATCATAATATGAACAAATGAGAGCCCGGTGACTAAGACACTGGCCAGGAATACTGTCCTCAAATATTTGCTGGAGGCCATGCTGAAATTCAAGGCCTTATGTCCCAAAGCTCAGTAAAGTATGTCTACCACCAGTCTCCTCACTCTTCAGCACATTACATTGTCTGTCTTACCCTCCCCCTCAAGTGCTTCTTCACTGTATTTTATAGTGCCAGACAGAAATACTCGAACTGTTTGACTTCTTAGCACAACAGTCTCACCACTTAGTATTGCTCCAGTTTTCAGTGAAACTCTGTGGTTCATATGTGTGATAGCAAATGACTCCAGCAAAAATAACAAGAAAATCTCATTGCACTGAGAAAAGGTGCTAATTGAGATCACCTCTATCAAAAGGGGAAGACAAACATAGACATAAACCTCACTGCTGCACGCTTCTCAAATCACAGGACGTTACCCACTTAGTCACAAAATCAATACAGTCAGTTCCTTACTCAACCTTCCTGCAAAGTTAAAAAGAAGGTCTTCAGTAGCCTGGAAGGACCTGTTCAATGACAAAAATCCTCAGTTTTTCTCCTCTATCACCTACATAATTTTCTTGGAGTATTTCTATCATGCACTCTTGGAATTTTGAATATAAATTCAGGAAGGGAAGGAATGGAGATTTATGTTCTCTCTCTCAAAAAGAAATGTTTAACATTCCCATTTTGCTGTGACCTGACTGACAAAGGTTAGTCTTGGTGGACTGATACAGGCAACAGCATGACCAGCACCCATTTCAATACCTGGTCTGAATCCTCCAACACTGAAAAAACCCCAGTACATCTTTGCTGTACATTTTTTGGACAAGCGTTCAACAGTATCTCTTATACAAGGATACAGAAGTAATTGGAATGACTGAGGAAAAAACATGTCAGTAAACAATGCTCTTGATCAGACAACACATTCTGAAAATGTGACTCATTATCACAGGCAAATCTAGTTTATGTCATGCTATGGGTGACTTGATTGCCTGTAATCTGGGATAAAAAAAAAATTAATTAAGGTTGTTTAAATGCAGCTTCAGGGAGTGCTACGTATTTTATCTCAGTTTCATCTGGTTTCCCATGATATCAAAGCTGTGTTTAGTGGATAGAGATTTACAACCAGAAAATGATATGTATAGCTGAAGAATGTGAAGGGATGATGTGCCTTATAAAATTAGTTATCATTGCTGGGGAAGTAGAGCTGGTTTACAGCTTGCTTTTTCCCTCTCCATCTGGGACTGATCTGTGTCTTTGTGTTCTATATAGGAAATGTTCTCCGCAATTCTCTAAACGTAAAGGCTGTGTTCCAGGCACTGTGTAGGAGATTTTGAAAACCTTGACTTATGCATAGGCAATTGTTGACATGTACATTTTTACAAGTATGTTTTCTTTATATTTAAAAAAGAAGTATACCTAGATTGGCTCAGCAGCTGCCAACAATGGGACAATTATGGATGCATTTTCCCCCCTCTTAGTCAAGCCAATGGACACACTATATATTTTATATTTGTGTTTTAATAATGAATGCTACACAACAATAGAATTTACTTTGCTGGGAACAGAAATTATTCCAATGAATGTCTAGGGAGTAGGAAGGAGACTCAAGGCTGTGTAGGTATTTTGGTTTCAAGCTCCTGTGATTGATATTTAGGCTACCAATGGATGGTGGTTTTGGCAGATCAAGGTAGTTGATGGCATCAGGCATTTGCAAGAGGGTTTTTCAGGTAGCTGGCTGGCTCCTGATCTTTTGGGGTTTTGAATGGACTTGCTAGTTAGGTCAGTATTTTGGCTTATTTTTTAATTTAAAGAGTATCATCTTTATTTAGGAATGGGCTCTAGATCTGAAATGAAGGTTGGGTTGTGTTGCTTTACTTTTCTTAGCAATTTTTAATATCAAGCTGTCTTTTGTTACTTTTACCATTCTTAAAGACAGAGCTTAGAGTTGACAATTAGATGTATATCTTAAAATATCTTTTACACGTCACTCAGCTTAAAAGCCAAAAGTAAAACAGTTGCTGGATATGGTATGTGAGAGCATTCATTAGCACCATTCAGGATCAGGGAATTCTTTTTTTAAAAAGCTATTTGAGGAACCAAAATAAAACTGCAACTAGGTTTCTTGCTGACAAGTTGCAGGTGTATACCACATGCCCATATTGGAAAAAAGATGTGGTTATGAAGGTCTTGATGACAGACAAGGGTCTAAAATGCCTTCATCTCCAGGTTTTAGCTAGTCCATCTGTTTTTTATTTGCATTTTCCCCAGCTAGCAGAGTTAGTATTTTCTAAGCTCAGTATAACCATGCACAAGTCTATATAAAATCCTTTTTTTTTTTGCACTGTAAGATCCTTACATTAGTAAGGTATCTTTGAAATAAGGGAAGTCTTACTTTTATGGTAACTCTATTATAAATTGTGAGTCAGTTTTATTTATTTCTTTCTGGAAAAATAAGGGAAAGGAGTGATGAGATTGAAGGGAGAGTCTTTTAGTTCTGCTTTGCTAGAATGGGTAGAATCTGCTTGTACCAAAAAGGTGAGAGCTTGTCTTTTATTGATACTCCTAGCTTACAAGACCCGGCCATCTTTGATGTTTATCCTTTTGATGATGTTTGCTCTTAAGGCAGAAAGATTTACACATACTTCAGATCACTCCAAACAGCTGCACCCTGGAATAATTCTCAAAGACGCATATTCAGAGGGCAGAATGAGACAACAGCACTTGGGAAATATCCAGCCAGGAGTTTTGGTACTGTAAAGTAAATTTTGACAAAGAAAGCATCTCATGAAGTCACGTGGGAAATGGCTTGGTTTGCCCTTCCACTACTGACACTAGACAAAATTGTTTGGTTTTCTTATCAAACCTCTTGTTTCTTCTGTGATTCTAACTGAATAGCATGAAGATAGAGAAACAAGAGTTTCTGCATCTGAAAGAACAATTTTCAAAGCAAATTCTCAATGGCCTCAAAGTTTTTCTTTTCTGAGAGTAATAAAATCAAACCTTGATTTAAAATATTAATATTAGCAAAGCAATCACCCTACACTGAAAATTAGTCAGTTAAACCTTTTGTTTGGGGTGAACAATTAGTTGCAAGAATAATTTTAGAAACAGTAAAAGCAATAGTTTGATTTATTTAAAATACTGGATAAAATTATTTGAAAAAGTGTAAACATAATTTTCCAGAAAGTGCTCAAAATGTATTGTCATCTTTTTCATCCAAACAAATTCCTTAAGTATAATTTTGAGGAATGGAAAAAAAAATCTATGATTAATTTAATAGGCAGTCAAATTAGATTCAGACAGCATAGTTGTAGCTGTGTGGGAGTCAGCAGAAGGGATTCTGGAATGTGGTGGTGTGTGTTGTTACATCTCCTTCAAGCATCATGTCTTTTCCTTTTGTAGGAATAAATTTTTATTTCTCTGTCTTTATGGGAGAATGCAGTACTTTCACATCTTTGGGGGGGGGTTTATGGGGGTTTTTGTGGGTTTTTTTGTTGGTTTGTTTTTTTTTGTTTTGGTTTGGTTTTGGTGTGTGGGGGTTTTTTTTGCTCGTTTGTTTGTTTGTTTGTTTGTTTTTGAAGTCAGTTTTCCTGTAAGTTAATGCTGGTTTTGGTGAATATGGAAGAATTGCTTACACACATATCTGCTTGCAGGGAATTATACATACAAGGCATTTTGTGCCCTATGATATATTCCATGCTGCATGCCACGGACTGTTGTGTAGCAGGTGGCAAGGACTGTACTAAGACCATAAGCAAAGTAAAGGTTATCAAAGAGAAAGTCTGACTAGTGATGTTCACTTCCAAGGAGTTCCACTGCTGTAGGTCAGTGGGGAATAGTGCAGTTGCAAAGACATTTGTGCCAGTGTGATGCAGATATTTACTGTGACAACAGTGAACTTATTATCAATCAGTGTGTTTGAAAACTGTCATAGGAAAAATGCCTCTTTGGAGCTTAAAGCAAAATGTTACCTATTGGAGGGTGTGTTTCAGTATTTTTACTGACCTGTATGGCTCTGTTGATTCTTCATTGTGGAGTTTAAAGCTCTTGTCCTTGAATCAGAGGCCTGAATACGTAAAAATATGAGATCTCTTGTGCCAACACGTTTGAGGCAAGGAAAGATGAAACCATAAGCGATCTGGTTGTATCTCCCTTATTCTCTAAGCTGTTGACCAGCACTAGTGTGGGCTTCAAGATTGCTCTGTGGCTGCAGAGAAGCATCCCTAGCTGTGTCTCCCAGCTCTTGTGAATTGTTATCTCAACTATCAGTTTCGTGTTTTGTTTGGAGGTTTGTTTTCTTGGTTTTTGTTTGCTTGCTTGTATTTTTTGTATGTGTGTGGGGGGGTGGTGTTTGGTTGGTTTTTCGTTTGGTTGGTTGATTTTTTATGGGCTGTATATATTCATAGCTTAAAGGACTGATTCACTGTAAACCTTTCTTTCACCCACCAGGCCTATCCTTGTACTAATGACAAGGAATGTGAAGTTGGGCGGTACTGTCACAGTCCTCACCAAGCAACGTCTGCATGCGTGGTGTGCCGGAGGAAGAAGAAGCGCTGCCACAGAGACGGCATGTGCTGCCCTGGGAACCGCTGCAACAATGGTATATCAGTCATTTCTCGAGTTTCCTTCATAAAAGCAGCATTTTGATAACATCTATTTCTCCATGTGTTCCTAGCAACAGGTTTTGGTTTTTTTTCTGGGTGACGGCGCTTCTTTTTCTAAACCAAGAAAACTTAATTTTCTACTTCAATCCACAGCACCTAATTTTCTTTAATAGTATTTCTAAGTTTAGGGCTTATGCACTACCAGACTTTTTCACATTTTGTGGTGGAGAAACCCAAAAATGCTGCTGCTGCCTAAAATCACAGCTCTATATCCAAAGTGGTTTGATTTACTCGAAGACTGCACAGAAGTCATATTTTAAGGAAGAAAAGGAGACTTGATCTTGTTCTACTCTCCCTGGGGAGGGTTATAACCATACCGTTTGTATTTGCACACTCTCCTCTGGAGACTTGAGAGATGTGTCTACAGGGAAGTCTTCAGGTGCTCAGACCATAAAGCCAGAGTGACAGCAAAACTATCTGACAGTGAATGAAGCGGAGCTGTGGTGAAGTTAAGTGCCAGGAATCAGAGATCAAGGTGTGATTAGAGCTGATCATCACTGAGGCCAAGTCCTAGTCCTTTCACGGTCCTGATCCTGGTCAGTGTATGTCTCTCTGTTGCTTTTCCTCTTATTCAGATCTTTGAGGCCTCACTTTTTCCTTGCAGGTATTTGCATACCAGTAACTGAAAGCATCCTTACACCCCACATCCCTGCTCTAGAAGGGCCACGCAACAAGAAGAGTGGTCATTATTCTAGCAAGGATTTGGGATGGCACAACCTAGGGAGGCCGCGCTCCAAGCTGTCGCACATAAAAGGTAAGATCACGTTTGGACTACGTTGCTTTGTTTCTTCATGTCAGGAATCATGCTATTGCTCCTAAGATACAGCAATGTAAATCAGAAGTAGGCAGTAATTTCACAGGGAGTGAATGTCTGTTGTGAGAACTCACAGCATGACTCAGAAAGTGATGTAATGTCAACCAACAGTTCCTGTGATTGAAACAGCATCTGCTTTTTTCTCTGTATCAGATGTGGACTGACAATCCATTTTATCAGTTCTGCAAGACTGCACATATCCTGCTCTTGTAACAGCCATGTAATTGTAGTTCTGCTTACAATCTTTTAGCTGAATTTCTCTGCAGTAAGTCTTATGCAAGGTCTCAGTAATTCCTCCCTGGAACCTTCCTAATTAATATCTTCTCTTGTGCTTACATCCTTCAAATAGCCACAGATGGAAATATCACCTCTCCTTTTTCTGAGTTTCATTTGCATCAGTCTGAACTTCGTCCTGTTTTCCTGTGAAATAGTAAAATAGTTTGGTTGCTCTTTTTAGGACACGAGGGTGATCCCTGCCTACGGTCATCAGACTGTATAGAGGGACACTGCTGTGCTCGCCATTTCTGGACCAAAATTTGCAAGCCTGTGTTGCACCAGGGGGAGGTGTGCACCAAACAGCGCAAGAAAGGGTCCCATGGACTGGAGATTTTCCAACGATGTGACTGTGCCAAGGGGCTGTCATGTAAAGTATGGAAAGATGCGACCTCCTCTTCTAAATCAAGACTTCATGTGTGCCAGAAAATCTGAAGGCTGATTGGGAAGACAGTAATAAGTGACTGTGGCTTTATGTGTTAAATGCATTATGGCATGGTGGAAAAACAGGACTGCAAATGGAAGTGGAATGGCTAAAGTAACAGTTAGAGTAGAAGTCACACCCAATGCATTACTTTTTGAGCTGGTGGTGTAGCTGGAGTTTATCTACTGTCCAGTTCTTCTGTAAATAACTTCTACAGTTTGTGGGAAATGCTAGTATGCAAACAAGTAGAGTGGAAATGAATGTCACTTACCTTGCTGCATTGTCCCGTGATGTTTCAGGGCGTTCAGTGTTAGGGCTAGAGTGGGTTTCCAGTGTGTTAATGCCTGCTAAATAAATTGTATACATTGTACTCCTATAGGAAGCAGTGCATGCCAGGAACTGGCATCTGTCAACTCATGATTTGGCGCATTGCAGGTGTAAGAAATTGAAATAAAGTTACTGTGAATGTCCATATGCCCTTGTCTTTCAGGGCTGACACTTCAGCAGAGAAAGCACTCCTGCAGGACAAGAGTGCTATGTTTTGCAGGTCCTTATGAAGGAGGTAAAATCTTGCCATCTCAAAATTTCAAGAAGGCAGCAGTTTCTCTAAGAGGAGGCATTTAAACAGGGTTTTGTTTCCTATACATGGGTAAATTGAAAATCTTTATGTAGTTCAGTGTCATAGTATGGCACTTAATCACTTGTATTTGCCTCAGTTTACTGCTAATATACATTGGGTTGAACAGATGAAGCAAATATGTGTGCATGCTGAATCCCGAATTATATATAGGCAGTTCCTCATTAGTCCTAAATATACTTTCCTAACCTAAGCATTCTTGCATTATAGACATTTCCAAAGGAAATAGCAGAGTGTTGAAGTGCCTAACATGAAGAGCTATGAAGCTGTTTCTCTGTTGCTATTATAATAGATGACATAGACATTTATTGAAGTGTTTAGAGCATACTGCTACAAACTCAAATTTCTACATTTTATTAGTAGCAACAGGCTACTGACGGCACTCTGCAGCAGTATAATGGATTTGTTCCTAGAGACAGCAAAGAAAAAGGAGCTGGGTCTTGTGTGCACCTCCTCTCCTGCAGAAAAGGAAGTAAGAAGATGGTATGACCACAAATGACTTGCTAAACAACATGTGATGTCACAGCCTACCAGCCTCCAGCATGTATTAAGCCTGAACTTGATGTCCTCTCATTCTGGAGTGTTCTGCCAGGAATGATGGAAGTACATAGACTGTAGAAACAGCTGCCAACCCTACATTGTTTGTGTACTGCTTAAAAAAGGGCAGCCTCTGTCCCTTGCCTTGTCTCCAAGGTCTTTTCAAACCTTTTTAGTTTTACTTATTTGCAAGTATTCCTTTGTATAGACTTTGATTAAGAGAATAATATTACTTTAAGGAAGCCTGATTCTGTAATTGACCTACTGCTAAGTTGTAATTACCCATTTATAATTGTGCATTTTCATGTTCTGTAACACAGCGGACTTTTCTGTTTATTCAGTTCTGAACAACGTGGGTAGACCGGTATGCAGTTTAACTCTAGAAAACCTGTCACCATTACCAGATATCTTTTTGCACCAGTGGGATGCTTTAAAGCTATAGCTTAGCTACACCAACAGACTCAGCCTTCCTAATTAGAACACAGACCTTGGCTACTTTGCCCTTATCTTTCATAAGAGTCTGAATAAGAAGAGTATTTCACACACCTCTTTCCCTACTGGAGTTAGCTTTTATTGACCTAGGGATGCTCAGAGACAGGGGCTTCTGTTTTTTAAGTCTCAGTCAGAGCTTTATCTTGGAGTCCTCTCATTGCAAATCTGCTTATTTTGGAATTTTTTTTTTTTTTTATGTAACTGGAAAAGTAATAAGGCTCAGAAATTTCAAGAAAAGTCCAGGAACAAATTTTGCAAGTTTTATTTACACTGATGCAGCACATACTCAGCAGAGGAACTTGAGTGCTCTCATTGTCACTACATAGAAAAGAAAATGAAATCCAGCCTGAGCAGAGGGGTGTTGCAGAAATGGGGTCTCAGAAATTTTTAGCTCTTCCTATCATTGGCCTACTCCCTACTTTGCTCTTGCAGAACATAGCTTTTTGGGATAATTTATTTACAGGAAATGTTTAATGAGATGTATTTTCTTATAGAGATATTTCTTACACAAAGCTTTGTAGCAAAATATATTTGCAGCCTGTTGACTTTAATGTAGAAAAATGTATAATAAGATTAAATATATTAAATGTTCTTTCCCATTCCTCCCCAAATATGTTACCCATGTTCTTTTCCTTTCCTGCTGCTTAAAAAGAATAGGTCTTTCTCGAAAAACATACGAATCAGTTGAAAAAAAACCACCCTACATATATTTTAGCTATACAAGTAAAATATACAATCAAATGCTTGTACTTGTGTCTGAGAGCACTATGTGGGCTGAGTTTTGATAAAACACATGAAGGTCATCTTAAAAATCCTTGTGCATAACTTCTACAAAACTGGCTTAAGTGACAATTATCAATATGCTTCTCTTGGGTCAGTTTACACCCAAACACTCAAGAATATGTTTTGAAAATAATGCACCTGGTTGCATAATGTAAAATCAACCAGGTTAAATAGGAAAGATGTCCAGGCGTGTTTCCTGGATAGTGGTACATACTAGAGGGACTCATGATGGGTAAAGGTGATATTCAAGTTACACAGCATTTTACTATAGGTTACAGCATGCAAATGTACTGCAGCAAAATTTATAACTGACAATTATGAAATGGCAAATTACAGCATTCAGCTCTAATAACATGAAACAATCCACATGACACAACTGAAAATACTGTTACTAAAACCATCCAAGATTTGATCCCAGGAAAACTTCTGCAGAGCGCAATAAATATTGCAAAATGATGGCTGTGGTTATTGAGCAATTGTCTTGATATCTTTGTTACTTATTTCTGGTGACCCTCTGCTCAAACCGATGTACATTTGGAGGATGGAATGGTCTCCTAATTGCACTAGTATTTCTATAAAATGAAAAGATTTAGCTACTGTTATTTGCAATATTTGGTGGGTAGGCCTTTGAAAATTCTAACACTTTTAGCATAAACATAATAAAGTTGTGAGCATTTTCAGAGCCCAAGGACTTCAACAGAGACTGCCAAAGCCTTTAGAGATTTAATCTGGGAACAAAAACAATAGGCACAGGCAGCTCCTTGCACACCACAAATACTGATCCACATAGCTGAACTGAGTAGCATGCAAGCAGTTTCGCAAGACTGAAGTTTGATTGCTTAGAAGCCATTCAGTTACTGTTTTGTGAAAATATACATCAGTTTAAGAATAAAAGAGCAGCTAAATTTGGGGATAATTGCTCTCACTCACTATGTCACTCATCACAGGAATTAAGAATGACTTTGGCTCAGTAACATTTCAGAAATCTGCTGCCATGACACAAGTACAGAAGATGTTGCTCAACAATTCAAATACTTTTCCTATTAGCTTAGAATAACCTCAGCAATGCAACATCTCTTTGGAAATATTTATTAGCTTTCCTAAAAATAATGGGTTTTTGCTCTATAACAGCGTATATTTGATTTACAGTATAAAGTGGGTGTGTATCTATTACTGTTCTATTTGCTTTGTCTCATGTTGTTTGCGACCTATAATATTTATGATTTTTTTAGCATTTTTTAGTGAAAACAATTAAAATAGATTTATCTGCTTACTTCTATACAATACTTTTAACATCTAACATGTGATAGCATCTGACACCTAAACCACAATTCACCAGAATTCAAGCCATCCTCTGCGTATTCTGACTTTCCTACTCATTGTCTCAACAACAGCAAGAAAGCCCTCATCAAACACCATAAGATATCTTGGGCAGAGGCTGAGAAAAGACATTCCTAACCTGTTTCTTGTCACCAGCCTCTCTGCTTTTGCTTGAGAGCTTTGCATCATCACCCCCACTTGGAAAAGTAAATGCTATCAAAGAAAATTTGTATTTCTCATCCCTTCCGGTTTCCTTTCCTTCTAGGAAACCCATTTAAAAAAGATATCCTGAAGGTCAAAGCCAGCAGAAACTCATATAATAGAGACTCTAAGTTAAGGCTTTTAAGAGTCCTAAGATCAATCCTCTAAATTTCAAAAACTTAAATGTTAAGAGAGTTATGTAATAGCAAGACCATATTTACGAAAAACAAAGAAACTTAGTTCTTCGGATTGTCAGTCATGTATGCTGAAACTAATAGTGGGGAAGAAAGAGCAAACTCTTCTTCCTCACCCAAGTAACCTGACCTGTAGTTCCTGACAAAGAGAAGGCAGTTGGTTTGGATTTTTTTTTTCCTCTAGGCACAGTTTCACTGTGCACAAAGGCATCATTAATTTTGTTTTTAAAACACAGTAATAATAAAGTTATGGTTTCTTACCTAGCCCACCAGTCTGAGGTACGGCATCTTTCTTTTGCTGCGTTGGACATGAGTGAAGGAACAGAGTTAGTCTCAAGCTCTGTGCTCTCTCTTTTAAATCCTAACATGTCCCTGAAATGAAGAGAAACTTTCAAATCAAGCGCCTTATAACACAGTTTTTCCACATGCTCACCACTACTAAAGAGTGCCTACATCACGACACAGATCCCATATCCGTTCTTACCCTTAATTTCCACTTCAGCTTTATGTGACTGCTATCAGCCACTGACGGGCAGCAAATGTGGGCTGCAGCCCACTCTTACTGCTCTGTCAGCTTCATGCAGACCTGCTTAAGGTCACAATGCAGGAAGTAAAGGGAAAGCACAGAAAAAGATCGAGGTGGCAAGGGTGGGAGCCAGCCCAGAGCTTGAAACAGTAGGTACAGGGTGAAAGCTGCCTTAAAATGTAATTAGATGGTATTGCAAAAACCATGAACCTTAATGGTATCCCACCCAATTATCAAGAGCAGAGGAAGGGCAAATGCACTCTGTTTGTTCCTGAGCTACAACCTCACACAATGACACAAAAAGGGGAGGCCTGTTTGAGTGATTCTGGTCCCTCAAAAGCTAAAGGGTCGAGTCTATGTCCCCTGGAAGCAGCATGCCTCTCACCTTGGTTCTCTGTGTATCCAAATCCCAGTAATTCCACAGGCTTTGGAATTGTCACCAGCCCTCAGGCATATTGTTTGGACATCATTGCTATAGCTCACAACTGGAAGATTGCACAGTAGGAAGGAAGAGGCAAAAGCAGGAGACAACTGCTGCATTTCATAACTACAGTTGGTCCCAGAGCTGTTATTCTGACCACCAGTGAGGGGATTGACCCTAATGGATATAGCACTGGATAGAGCTCACCACAAATTTGTTTATTCTGGCAGCTCCCTGGGTTTTTTTGGAATTGCTTATTGTTATAGCAAAAGTGTCAATTACATATTTACAAATGTCTGGTGCCAATAAACTCTTCCTTTTTTACAGTACTGGCTTGCAGCTTGATTTAGAAGTGATTTGCTGCCTGTCAGCTTCCTGAAGGAGAAGAAAATAATTTTTTTCAAGGAAATCAAAATTTTAAGAAGCACAGGCTTTTTTTTTTTTTTTACTTTCATTTTTAGGAAAAAAAAATATTTAGAAAAAAAGAAGAGAATATCATTAACACACAAAGATTTCTTGACACAAATTGTAGTCTTTGGGTTGTTGGCAAAACTTGTACTGTAATTCTTCACTGCTGTTATCAAAGATGACCAAAGAGTAGTCAACAAACGAGAAATGTATAGCAGTGTGGCTGCTAGGTCATGTGTGTTCCATTTTCTACTCCTCATAAGCTATTTCTTTCAGAGAGCATATTATTCAACAATATTCACTCAAAACGCTTGCAAACTTTTTTTTTTTAAA